CTCCTGCCCTCACTGATAAAAGTACTGCTGAAGATAAAATAGTACATGAGAGATGGGAGAGGTGCAACAGAATGGCTCTTATGCTCATTAAAAATTCCATCAGCATAATCATCAGGGGAGCTATTCCAGATTCATCTAATGCTAAAACATATCTGGCTTCCGTGGAGGAACAATTCAAAGCAACTTCTAAGGCACATGCCAGTACTCTTATTTTGAAGATGGTGACTACAAAATATGACGGGAATAGCGGCATTCGTGAGCACATCATGATGGTGAACGACATGGCCCGTAAGCTCAAGGGATTAGACATGGAGATCAGTGAATGTTTTCTGGTGCACTTTATAATGACTTCTCTTCCTGCATCTTTTGAAGCTTTCAAGGTCAACTACAACACCCAGAAGGTCAAGTGATCGATGAATGAGTTGATTGCTATGTGCATACAAGAAGAAGAGCGTCTGAAGTTGGACAAACCTGATGTGGCTTACCTCATGACCGCTAATCCAAAGAAGAGGAAGGGCAATGTCGATAAGAAGGATGTTTCTAAAGTCCAGAAACGTGATGCAAGTGCTTCTTCCAGCTCTAAGAACTCTAAAGGGAAGTCTTACTGCAAGTTCTGCCGCAAGGAAGCACATAGACAGAAAGACTGCCAAGACTTTAAGGAGTGGCTGACGAAGAAAGGTAATCATCTTTACATGATACTTGAGTCCTTTAATTTAAATGTTCCAACTAATACATGGTGGTTTGACTCTGGTTCTATGGTTCATGTAACCAACTCACTTCAGGGATTCCTTACAATCTAGAAGCTGGAAAGAAAACGAAGAACACTTAAGCTGGGGAATGGAACAGAACTAGCTGTCGAAGCCTTGGGAACCTTAGAATTAATAATGAAAACTGGTTTATGTATTAAACTTTATGATACCTTATATATTCCTGAGATTACTCGGAATTTAGTATCAGGACCAAAGTTAGACATAGACGGTTTTGATGTTTCTCATGGTCATGGCAGACTTACTATTAGTTTCAATTCTCAAGTGTTTGGTCATGGTTTTCTGGATGGTGGTCT